ATGAGTGAAACCATCGTTAATTTTCTTTTTCTTTCTGGCTTATTTCACTAGGCGTGATCCCTTCCAGCTCCATCCATGTTGCTGCAAAGGATATGTGTTTACCAAAATGTTTATTCATTTTTTTCTTTTTAATTTTTACATCATTTTTTATTTTATATATTCATTATCATACTTTTTAATTCATTCATCAATATGGTCATTCAACATGGTCAAAACCTATGATAGGTTTTGTTTGCGTCTCCCTGACAGGTAATGAGAAGAACACATTTGCTATTTTTTTGTTTAATGGTCATGCATATTTCCTCTTCTGAGAAATGTCCATTTTAAAACAGCTATTTTTCTTATTGATTCAAAGTAGTTCTTTGGATAGTAGCAGAGCTTCTTATAAATATAAATGTCAGAAGAAGGCTCACAATTTGTGAACATGCTATCCAGAACTATTCTGTTGCTTATTCGGAATAGGGTAATCAACATACTCCTCCCTTCCCTTCCAATCAAAGAGATGCCAAGAGTGTTATTTCCTGGGTCTTGAGGGCTCAAGACAGCAGTTACCCAGGCTGGCAAGCCTGTATGCTTCAGTACAAGTTTGAATAATTGTTCTGATGACTTTTAATACTTTGAGTGTATCCGTCAAGTTCCTATAGGAAATCATATTTGTTCCAGATTGTTCAGATGAAGAGATTTAGATTATGGTGCTAATTGTAAAGGTCTGGATTAAGAGAGCTCATGATGGGGAGGAAGGGAGTATGGGTGTGAGGGATTTGACACTGGAGGGAGACCATTACCTCCTTTAGGACTGAGGGGAAAGAGGAAATGCTGTTCCAGGACCCCGTGGGAACGGTAGCAGTGAAGGGACCCATCGCCAGGGACAGCTAAGCACCACCACAGCAAGAAAGGAGTAGGGAACAAACACCCAGCTTTCTATCCACCTTCCTATCCTGACTGCCAGCCAGGCCTCCCATAGGCCGCACTCAGGCAAAAGCCACCTGGGTGATGCAACTCAGAGTGCTGGCCTCTTGGGTACACAGCAGAGCCACAAAGATTGGGTATAGAAAGGGAGGTTTGGAGCCAGCAAGCAGAGCTCAGCCAGGACAGGTGGGATTTGAACCACCTGAGATTTCTTCACAAGAAGGATGACAAAAATCAGCTCACACGGGAAGGCTGCCAAGCCCTAATCATCAATGTGCTCTACCAGTATGTCATAGGGGTTATTCTTAGCATTTAACTAAGTTAGCAGTATGATGAACATTAACTATAAATCAACATATAATTTTCAGCTAGTCAAATTTATACCTAAATGACATGGTAAAGCTAAGACCTGTTCAAAAGTAACTGTGCAAGGGACATGTCTCCTTGATCTGTCAGTTTCTTATCAACAGAAGAGGATAAGGTTCTCCTTATGAGCCTGTTATGAGGATGAAATCATATAGCAAATGCTCACACAAAGCCTAGAATCAGTCAGCAACAAGTGTGTTTGTTACCGATATATCTGTCACTTTATTCCTTTCACTCACCTATGGAATCTTGTGACAAATGCCACCTGCTTCCGTGTGGGTTTCTGACCATGTGACTCACTATGGACAAGTTCTCTAACATTCTAATTGAATCCAAAGTACTCTGCCTCTCTTCACAGAGACCCACCAAAAACCTGGCACCACCATTTGAACAATAGTTTACAGACCGAAAGCACTCCACCACCTTTATAGACAACTACTAAAAACAATCCAGGAGTTGATATTTTTAGAGAAACTGAGGCTGAAAAAGACACCGGACCCAGACTTTCTGATGATAAAATATGTCACAACTGTAGACAAACACTTGCAGAACGCCTCTGTGACGTCAGAGTTTCCCTCTGCCACATCTTACCGAACAGAAGTGCAAGAGGAAAACATGTTCATGGGTCCTGTCCTGGCTGAATCGCCTTTCTCTGGTGCCAAGTCCTTAAAGGGAAAGCACTAGCTACCCACCCCCCTGTTGCTACCTCACTCCAAGGAAACACCTGAAAGTAGGATAAAGAAATGAAATAAGGAAAAGAGAACATTTTCCAAGCTTTTGAAAGCATCAAACTGTGATGTATTTCAACCCTGCTAATTTACACGAAATCAACTATGAAACTGTACTTAACAGCTAAGCGTTGGAACAGACTTTAGCAAATGATGGTGCTCTGTGAGTCTCGTCCTCATTGCCAGAAGGAAAATAAAAGGGGAAGTCTATGATCAGACCTGAAATACTTTATTTGAAACAATTTTCAAATGCAAGCCACTTGCTGAGGGACGGGGCGGGGAGGGCGTTCGAGGCTCCATGAGCTCGGATGTGGCAAAGCCCTACAGCCGGTTGCTCTGGGAGGAAGTGGGGCACAGTGGTTTCGAGCAGAGCTTTGGAGTCAGGCCTGCTCGAGAGTCCGGGTGCTGCCACTCACCTGCTGTAAGGCCTGGGGCTTGTCACGTGAACATTTTGAGGCTCAGTTTCCTCCTAAAAGGTGGTGTCCACCGTTGTGTGGCCACCTGCAGGCCACGTGATGAGATTACCGCACAAGCTAGCGCCCAGGATCACACCCCCCCCTCCCCGCCTGCGGCACATCCCACGTTCACAAACGTGGGCCAGTAGGATGCGCTCAACTTCGGGCACTCGCTCTCACGCTAGATGCTGCTGCCCCATTTTGAGAGTAGAAGTTAAAACTGTCTACGTGGGCCCTCCCTGGTGGTGCAGCGGGTTAAAGCGCAGCACTGCAGGGAGCCAGCTGCTTCACTGGGAATTCCATCCAGCCAAGGATGTAACCCACATGATGAGGCAGACCCCTCCTGACTTGCCCGCTGCTCCCCTCAGTAGTGTACTTGGTCTATCTGCCTGTTCTGTTCCCCACTCTGTCTCTGGTGAATCCTCTCACTGCCCCTGTGTCTCTGGCCTGCACCCCAGTTCTGTATGCATAAATAAATCTTTGAAAAAAATAAATAAAACCGTATAGGACGAGTTACTGAGCCACTCAACTCTTCAGTGTAAACAAGGGCATATTTAATGTTGCTTCTTGGAATAGGTACACACTGACAAGCAAGAGTCTACAAAGAGGTACACATTCTGAAACATAAGAAACATAGACCAGAGTTCAGGCAAAAATTAGTATACACTTCCCAAGGACAAGCTTAACATGGATTCCAACAAAATGACCTGTTTTTATTTCTTACCCCTGCAAGGCTGGCAAAGTTCTGCCTCCTTCTGTTGCAACTTTGTGACCCAACCCAATTTCTTTTTGCTCTTTGCTTTAAGAATTTATGGTCTAGTGGGAAAGACAGACATCCCCGCTGGCCTCAACCTCTTCCAGGTCCTGTCACAGGGGAGGGTTTCCAGCTGTATTGCTGTTTTCAGGTGAGGGTTCCCAGAGGGTGTCTTTAAGCTCGGCAGCTTGACAGTAGAGGGCTGTCTGTGTGTTTGCCGAGGTGGAGACAAAGCTGTGCAGTGCACCCTCGGGGTCTGCACTACGTCCCCTCCTCTCTCCAAGGACTCCTCTCCCTTTGATAACTTAGATACAGCGCCTGTGCCCTTCCAGTTTCATACACCCCATCACCTCCCTTCAACAAGAAAGAAAAACTTGGGAACAGCTGCTTTAGTGAATAGAAATTCATTCCTGATGAATGCATTCACCCCACCTCTACCTTGAAGACTGACCCTACGGGAAAATCTGCACAAGTGAGTGAAGACTGTTTACATGCGAGGAGAAGGTGGGGATCAAAGATCTAGGAGAGGAGAGCAGCTCCCATTGCCTCCCTGTGTGCTCAGCTCTCTGGCCCTCCAACCCTCTGGATGCCCAAGGCAGAAAGCAGGCTCTAGGAGCTGTTTAAGTCGAGGGACTGGGTGAATCAGAGATAAGGACAAACCACAGGGCTGGAGATGTGGGATGTCTGAGCAGAGGCAGAAGATACACCAGCCCCAGGGAACTGATGACACCCAGCCGCTAGGACTAAGCCCCAGCTCCCCGGCCTTTTCCTGGAGGTGAGTGAGAGGTTAAAGGCAAGTGAGGGGTGAGCACTAATTTGACTTGGACCCTGATTATAGCACAAAAGAAGTGACCACTTAAGGAAACGTGCAAAATAGGTTTGGTTGTATCAATTTAATCTGATCAGTGCCATTTATGCCAATTGCCTTACCATTTCTATATAGTACCCATATTGTCAGAAGAATGATATACTTTAATAACACTAACAAGTTTTATTTGATTAGGTAAATTTTATATCTGGGTGCCTGCCTTTACAACTGCTTTCCTTAACTTACATAGTCCTCTGTTCTCGGCTTTAACAAATGTTTAATGTTATTGCTGTTAAACTCTTCCATAGACCTGGGTCTGAGAGGGTTAAATGTTTCTATTTATTCAGTGTTGTCCCTGAAAACTTTGTTATGATCTGAGCATTTGCTATAGAATTTTCCTGTTCCTTGTGCTTGGGTTTGTGACTTCTTTTTCATTGAGGTGTTTCATATTCATATAAAAGTTACAAATATTATAAAAGTTTCCCTTATACACATACATATATAGACACCTTGCCAATCATTCTGATTAGATTCTGAAATTACTAAATGATGTTGCTTTGCCAGCTCAGGTTAGAGCTCCGATGCAAACAAATGCAGACAGAACTCCAAACCTACTCTCTCTCCTAAGACTACCTACCTGCCTGGCACCACTGGTGGGCAGAAGCAGGCAAAGTACAGTAGTTTCTGAAATAAAAGTGAGAATTCCTCACTTCTCTTCTAGGTTCTGAGCCCAGAACTTGGAGGAGTCTGATTCTCTGCCTGAAAGCTTCCCCTCCAATCTTGTTCAATGAACGAGAGATTGGTACATAATTAGAGTTCTTTGGATGAAAAGCTATATTGTAGTAAGAAAGGATTTTTTAAAAATAATTACAGAGAAATATAGTGATAGCTGTTTAAAAACCGTTAGGGAATATTAAAGTATCTTATGTCATTGAATTATATTTTATATACAATGCTAAATAACAAGTGGGTGAAAAATTCATTGCAAGGATCAGTTTATGGTCATTTTAAAACTTCACTATCTAGTAAAATCTAGCAGGTGACAACTTTGGGTGAAAATGACTCATGTATGGCAGAGCACAAAAGGTTCTGTCACTCAGACAGCAATGTGTGTTTGTAAGTATGCAAGAAGAGTGTAAGTGTGAAAACTAATCATGTACAAAGGCTATACATTTTGTTACTGCTTAAATAAAACATGTCTTTAAATATGGAATTCTTTGGGTCACTCACTTCACTGTCCAACATTACGGAAACTATTTGAGTTTTTAAAACAAAGATGGACTACTCATGACAGCCCCCCCGCAAAGATCTTCCAGCTGGACCGAGTGAGGAATTCACCGGCAGAGGTATATGGAGTAAGAACTTCCAGGGGACAAGTCCCATCAGCAACTGCATCCAAAACGACGGCTCTGTCCACTCAACCCTGCTGGCTCACTTGGCCTCCTTGTCCCCAGTGGTCCCTGGGCTGAGTAAATGAGTGGCGGGTCAAGTCTTTTGAGGGTTAGAAGATCTTGCACTCGTTGATGGAGAAGAACCTCCTCCTGCTGCGCCTCCTGGCTTGGTTGACGGCCGTGCGGACGGCACACTCAAACACCTGCTGGACCCCACGGTTGCTAAGGGCCGAGCACTCCAGGTAGCCCTTTGCTCTCACATCCTGGGCCAGTCTCTTCCCCTCTATGGCACTAACGCAGGAAGCCCTGTGGGGACCCATCTCCCGCTGGTCAGTCTGGGTGGCCACCACCAGAACGGGGGTGCACGGCAGGTTGCTCCTGACTTCCCCAATCCACTTGTTCTTCAGGTTCAAGAAAGAGTTGTGGTTGGCCACGGAATAGCACATGAGAACCACATCTGCCTGCTGGTAGGACAGCGGGCGGATGCTTTTGAAGGCGTCGTTGCCAGCGGTATCCCAGAGGCCCAGGCTGATCTGGATGCCATCCATGAAGACGTCCACGCCCGTGTTCTCATACACTGTGGGCTTATACGCCTCCGGGAAAGTCTCTGAGGTGAAGCGCACTAAGAGAGAGGTTTTCCCCACTGCCGAATCTCCCACCAACACACATTTGATGGAACGCATCATCTTCCCGTCTGGATTCCTAGTTTCGAGTTCAGAATTCCGAGGGAAAGGGCCGTCAGCGAGCCACTGGAACCAACGCCATCCAACACAAGCCAAGAAAACCAGGGTTGTGTTCTCAGCAGCTTCCAGGGCTACCTGGGCAGCGATGTGTCTTCCTGGCCATCCAAGGAGGAGGAATGCTGTGCTATGAGCAGCTCCAACGGGGAGTCTTTAGCTGGAACAGAAAAAGGAGAGGAAAATGAGTCTTTTTTCCTTCTCTTGATGACGTGGCGCTTCCTCATTGGCAGACTGATATATCAGGGGCGCACCTCACAATAGCAGCTCAGTCCCCGCTGCAAGGAAAGGCTGGATCTGTCACCCCCAACCCTGCACCCACAGCTCCACCCAGTGAAGAAACAGAGGCTGACTTTATCTCCAAAATCAGCCTAGAGATAAAAACAAGCAACTGCTCTGATCATAACATGAAAAAGAACTCAACAGCAACCTGGTGTGTGAATGAGGGTTTCCAATTGCTCGCTGGGCTTCTGCACCAAGAAGCAGGGAAGGCAGCTGGCAGGTGCTGGCAGTCACCTCAGTCTCCGATGGATCCCAGCCACATTGGGAACTGCAAGAAAGAGAAATGTAATGAATGACAGGTACTATCATCATTTCTCTTCATTTATTGATTAACCAGCCAATCCTTGACTTACATGGTAATTCATGCAGAGATAGGAGGAAATTACCAGAACTCTAAAAATTTGCTGTTTTTTCCCTTGAGGTTTTCTCCAAAACTGGTTACAGATGTAATAGAAAGGTCACTGTCCTTGACATGTTCTGCATATGAAATCAGGCTCCCTTTCCTATGTGATGGCATGGCTCTGAGCATGTGACTTCATCTCCACACCTCAGTTTACACATTTGCATACATTTAGGAACTGTTTCTCAGTTGTTTTTTTCAATGCCTGGGACAGCCACCTCTGTACAGCAGGAACTATGCTAGGAGCCTGGTTAAGTGAAGGTTAAAATAAGGTGCTTATCAGCAGCCGTGGTTGATGCCTGTTACTTAAACAGGACTGCATAAATATGACGGAATCTGAATGCCATGAACGCGTACAGTTAATTGTCTTTCACTGCAGGTGAGAAAGCTCCAGACAATGAGATCAGCCTTGGAAACTGTCCTGTCTGCTGAGGGTGACAAGGCCAGCCCAGCTTCAAACAGCAGAAAGATCTTTCACACCAAAATTCAAAATAAGGTTTATTTATGCAACCTGGGCTTATGACTCCCTAACAGCAATCCTCCTGACATGCCATGTGAAAAGCAATGTAAACCTATAGTTCAATTTTGTTTAAATCATTAAATCTCAATTTTGCCTTCAAAGACATTTTTATCCTTATCAACCCATGGTCTCTGTAATTAGACATGATAGCCTTTGCAAATGAACTAATCAAGTAAATCATATATTTGATTTTCGTGGATTCTTCTTTTTAACCATGCAAGAACTCAGTGACCTTAGCCAAGTCATGGTTTCTTCATAAAAATGAAAATAAGAAAAGTCTCATTTCATGCAATTATTGTTAGAAGCCGGCATGTGGGGAGCTGGACTTAGTGCAGATCCTGAAACATGGGACTTATATGGTGCCACTGGGTTATCTATTTCCACTACTATTTATTTAAAATGCTCATTATTGAATGTCCAACATAGGAGCTTAGCTGTCAAATATTCAGCTGGGCTGTATCTGAAAAGTCATAGTCACAATGGTCCTGGATACCTCTTTGTACGGGATCTTTGAATAAGGTCTCCTTGGGGACCCCACTGTGTCTCAGACTTTAGCTCCTAAGATCTGCAGATGATTCAAACATTTATGGCACCCTTTTTACTTAGTCCAGAGCTGAGACTTATTAATCCATTTTTAAAATTTATTTATTTATAAGATTTATTTATTAATGCATACAGAGCTGGGGTACAGGCCAGAGGTGCAAGGGTGGTAAGAGGATTCACCAGAGTCAGAGTAGGGAGCAGAACAGGCCGACTGAGAAGTACACTGCTGAGGGGAGCAGCGGGAGGGTCAGGAGAGGTCTGCCGTGCCATGTGGTCACCTCCAGGGGCAGGAATCCAACTCATGCTGAAGTGGCTTTAGCTTCTCAGGACTGTGCTTTAACCTGCTGTGCAACCAGGGAGGGCCTACTTATTTATTTTTAATTGAAGTATCACTGGGTTACATCCTTGTTAGTGTCAGACAGAACAGGATTCATTCAGATAAAGTCACTGTAGCTCTCCCACCATCGTCTTTTAAAGTTTTATTTTGGCTGCAATGTAACAGAATCAAAACTAGGAAATCTGTACATGTATCAGGCTTCTGGTTAGTACATAAAGTCTTTCTAATAGATTGATAAATTCAAATTTCGTGAGTGAATATCTGCAAATGGAAGTTGGTGAGGCTCTAAACTTGGGTAGAGCTTGTTACCCCACCAACTACCTGTGCCATAACCTTAGAAGAGTTTCTCACCCACCCACTAAGCCTCAGTAACTTTCTCTGAGAAGCAGATGTAATAATACCTGTATCACAGGGTATCTGAAACATGTGCCTTGATGCATAAACCCTTAGCACAGCGCACAATGTAAACATACTCCGTGTGCTGTCAGACAAGCAGAACTTATTAGCCACATTCTTAAATAATTACTGTTTTCTGCCTTCTTCCAAAAGAAATAAATTTTCTGCCATTGTATTTCTATTATTGGCTTAATAGCTTTAACTCTTTGCTACATTAGTGGTTGCTGTGAAAGACAGCAGATGACAATAATAATAAGTAAATACAATAACTAGATACGATTATGAATTGTAAGCAGGGAGTCTGAAGTAGCACTAGAAAAGTTTCTCTGGCAAAGAATGCTGTGTAACTTCCATTTAGCCTGACTACAAAAAAAAAGTTTCTTATAGCCTAAAAATTAAAATATGATGTGAACAAAGAAACTACTGCCTGAGATTTGTCACCAAGAAAATTTTGAAGAGTTATTGGAGGCCCAGACTGTTCAATCAAGTGAGGCCTTCATTCCCCAATCGGTTTGGAGTCAGCCCTCAGGGCCTTCGTTTCTGAAATTGTAAAGTAACAATAGTTGGGCAAGATCATCTTTTTCTGTGGTTCTATTAAAACTGAGGTGAACGGGGCAGTCTTTCTTGACTGCCTCTGCGAAAACAAGAACACAGAACTCGGCATTACTCTGCAGCAGTAAAATGGCTGATGAATCTTGACACCATCATGTCCTCCAGGAGACAGCCAAATATGGAGCTGGAGAGGAGGGGAAGGGCAAGCTCCACCCAGGCTGGAGCAACACCCTATATGGACATAACATCGTCCCCAGAGCTCCTGTCACATGTGGGCCACATCGTCAGTGCAGGTTAATGGTCTTGATTTCAGAGCGATTTCTCCTAAGGGGAGAAATTTTCCTAAAAGGGCCTGAGTGACAAGTAGAAGTGAGTTTTAGTGGCAGGGATGCCCCAGTGCAGGTCCCTCAACGCCTCACCATGGAAGAGTTATCTCGAGTGTGGTGAGGGAGGCCTCTAAGTAATGTTTGAAGGATTTACGTGCACAACAAACCCTCCATCCCAGACCATCTCGGGTCTCAATCATGTAGACTTCTCTTCCTTTTTCCTCATTTTAGCATTTTCACAGAAAGTTTGCCTTCCTCAGACCCTCATGTTTCATACCCAGCCAAAGAGGGAAGGGAGGCTTCTTGCAAAGGCAGAAGTGTGAGGGCCTTCTATGGCAAAGAAGGCCAGAAGATGAGGAACCCCACCCAGTAGGAAATCTCAGGCGCAGTTCAATTTTTACCCCACTCTCCGTACCACTCTTTTTTTCAGATGCACACTTGTGCTAGTCTATTCGCCTGGAAAGAGCTATGTTGCCCTCGCCCACTTATTCCCGCCTCTTTTTAAAAATCTTTGATCGCCTGACCCACGACTAGATCAGGGACCCTGGGTGTGTTACCACAACGCATGTCGCCTGCACGTTAGCACATACTTGAAATGCTTGCTCCTTTCGTGTTTATCTCTCTTCTGTGAAACCAGAGTAAGTTGTGCCCCCCCCACCCCCTTCCTCACAGGGAGCTCTTGAGGCTCAGGTGGCCATGCTAGTGAGACAACGCTAGGTTGCTTGTGCTTTCACACGACTTCATACAATTGGAAACATTCTTTTGTTTGTTTTATGATAAAGTCCCTTCATAACAGTAGAGTACAATATAAAACGAAGATGAAATAATGACTGTTGTCAACTATTATCATTGATGGTTTTAGGTTAGCTACACTTCGATTGAGGAAGCCTAGTTCAACATGTTTGTTTATTTTATTTTATTTTTCAAAATATATATTCACAGTCAACATGTTGGGATGGTTTGTCAGTTACAGAGTGTACATCTAAGTGCCAACCCCCTTGAAAAATCCTTAGCAAAGGACTTGCTTGGTAGCAGCCAATTAATTAAAGAATTATTTGCCATGAATCTAACACAGAATTAGGAAATCACCACCCTCTACGTAACTCATCTCCTGCCAGCTCGGACCTTTCCACAGCTTTGCAGGGGCCTCACAGCACCAATAGACAGACCTTGCTCCTGCTGTGTGAACCCACAGCACTTACCATCTAGAAGTGGGGCTGAGTTGCTTCATTTAATTTATTTTACTTGCAGGGAAAGCAAAACTATTTTTAAAAGCTTAAGTACCTTATAGAGAAAAAGCACGACCATCTCTAAATATTATCTCCCAAAATTTTTACTTGATTCTCATTCTAATAAATACACCCTTGCATATAGCTTCTAAACATTTATTTCTAACTAAAAATGTATCTTCAGGTCCTCACTGGTGGCGCAACGGGTTAAAGCACAGCACTGCGAAGCTAAAGGCAACCACTTCAATGTGATTTTGATCCCCAGTAGGGAGGTGACGACCTCTCCTGACCTGCCTGCTGCTCCCCTCAGCAGTGTATTTACAGTACATCTGCCTGTTCTGCTCCCCATTCTGTCTCTGGTGAA